ACTTAACCCCTTGGACCATCAGGGAGGCCCAATGTTCTCTTCTTTTTAATTTTTTTATTTTATGTATATTTATGTTCACTCTTTTTGGGGGTTGGGGGTTTGGGAAGTGACATGAAATTTCTTCATTATTTTCTTACCCAGTTACTTTCCCAATTCTATCAGGTTTTTCATTTTTAAAACTTTTGAAAATTTCTCAGGATGTTGCTGCTTGTCCTTGTTCTTCTTGTTCCTCCTCTTCTTATCCTTATCCTTATTCTTCTTTTTAAAAGCATCCTGTTCTTGTCACATGGAAGTCCTTCTTTTATTTCTCAAAGTTAATTAATCATAGTTTATTTGGGAAATTTTATTTCTTGGCATAGTTTTGTTTCTTCCAAATTGGTATTTTCCCCATTTAAAAAAAAAATCTCTAACTCCTATATTAGAGCCTTTCCTTCGATGTAAAACTTGGTTGTATGTCATGATAATGAATAGAAGGCAAAAACCAAAACAACAATTACTGGGAAGTTCTGAATAGGGTGAAACAGGGCCTGACAACTTTGAACTTTGAATTAGGATAATCTGGTTAAACTGTTTGTTGGGAGAACATCACTTCTTTAAGCATTTACGTTTCAGATGGTTAATAACTCAAGGATAGTCTTCCAGTATTCTACCATGAGGGTAAGGATCTTGATGCTAATATATTGAGAACCAAGTGTGGAAATAATATGATCATACTCAGAGTTAGTCTTTACAACTTTTCCCCCCCAAGAATGGAGAGTGAAAAGGACAGTGTCAGTTCATGCTTACAAGACTGAGCATCCAGGAAGTAACAGACAAGAATTTGTTGAGTGTTTCTCTTATTTAAGCAAAATAGTAGTAACTGTATGTACTTGAGTGTCCGGGCCAGCCGGGCAGATCAATGTGGTACCCGGGGGAGGAAGCAGGAGCTAGGTATAGGACAGGGGTACGCGAGGAGTGGAGACAAAGCCAGGATCATTGCCAGTCTCATTTGTTCAGGAATGTGCACAATGTTATATAGGGTTCACAGGAGGAGGTCTCTCGTTATCTGGAACAAGGAGAGACCACCAATACAAACAAGCCACCAGGAGCAAGCAGGGGGAAGGGTTCCGTCGTCACAATAGGAAACTTGAAACCTTCACTGGAGCTAACATTCAGTACCTGCTTCAGGCAAGAACCCGGATGTTCAGGTCTGGGCCCCGAAACTTGAGTTCATTTAGAGAAGGGAGAAGATTAAAAAAATGGAGGGAAGAGCACCAGAGACTATGGTGACAGTACACAGGTGATTGGTTGTGGGAAGTTTATGGGGATTACACCTCAGGGGATAAATCAAACATTATAAAAAAATGAACAATGATGTAAGTAAATTAATTTAATTTAATTTAAAAAAGATTTATAACCTGCTTGCATGCTAGGTACTGGAGAATTATTGAAGGTTTACCCTTTTTCATTTTTCAGTATAAAAATGTCCAGTGAAGGGGCCTCCCCGGTGGCGCAGCGGTTGAGTGCTGGGTTGCGAACCTGCCCGCGGCCTCTGCGGCGCCGGTTCGATCCCCGGCTGCTCCCCGGCCACCGGAGGAGGGTCCCGCATGGCGCGCAGACCTCTCCTGCCGCCCGCTGCTCCCCTCAGCAGTGTACTTCGGTCCTTCTGCCTGCTCTGCTCCTCGCTCTGGCTCTGGTGAATTCTCTCACCCTCCCGCGCTTCTGACTGTACCCAGTGCATGTATAAACAAAAACAAACAAACAAACAGATAAATAAATAAATAAACATGCCTCTATAAAAAAAAAAAAAAAAATGTCCAGTGAAAATTAAATTAACGGATCCAAGGCCAGACAACTATTGACATACTTAGAACTCACACCTCAGTCCTTTGATTCCAAAGCTCTTTATTAGTTTATTTTAAATAGTTTTAAGAGTCAAAAAATAAATTCTATATGATATTATTAGAAAATATATAAAATCCAAAATAAATTTTAAAAATACAAAAGGCCACCAAAGCACTGTAATATACTTTTATAGGGACATGCAATAATTTATGACTTATAATACTAATTATAATTTATTTGACTGCCCTCAAATTTGAATCTTTTGGGTTGATAAATATATGTTCTTTCCATTACATGCCATTAGTCAAGGACAGCAGGCATGGACAACAGTCAGGGTAAAGGAAAGAAGGAGCAGGATTCTAGAGCCTCCCTGATGGTGCAAGGGGTTAAGAGGCAACTTCTGAAGCTAACTGCAGCCACTGCAGCACGAGTTCGATCCCTGGCCAGGGAGCAACCCACAGGGTGCAGCAGACCTCTCCTGTCTCGCCCGCTGCTCCTCTCAGCAGTGTATTTCAGTCAATCTGCCTGTTCTGTTCCCCACTCTGTCTCTGGTAAGTCCCCTCACCTTCCCACACCTCCGGCCTGTACCCCAGTTCTTGTATGCATAAAAATAAATAAATGTTAAAAAAAGGGGGGGGGGCAGGGTTCTAATAGAGCATTAAAAGCTGCTGTTCAGATACCATTCAGTACCCTGGAGAGCGTCACAGACGTACCATTCTCTTAGAGAAGCCACAGAGCAATAATTGGGAGCTCTTTAGTGTTCTGAACTACTTCCCAAGAATTAAATAGCAAATGAGACCATATCACACAGAGAGGTCTCTTTGTCCTGAGGGGTTCATCATCACGATTCCTCAGTTCAAAGAGCTTTGTGAGAGTAGGCCATTATCCTCACCTCTGTGCTTTTTCTCTTCTTATCTCCTCAGCTGGGAATACCTTTCTAATTTCTACTCATCCTTTTATTTTTCCATTTTGTCATTCATTTTTTCTAAAATGCTTTATGAGCTCCCTCTGTCTTCCCCCTCAAAAATTTCTCCCTGTTCCTCCCTTCCTCTGTATCTTTCTTGGTCATCATATATGCAACACTATATTATAATTCCCTGTTTGAACATTCTCCTAACTAGGATATGAATTCCTTTAACTCAGTCTCAGTTATCTTTGGTCTTAGTAAATACTCAATAAATAACATTAAATATTTCATAAGTGAATGCACATTATTTAAGCAATAGGGAGCTATTGCTCTAAAAAATTTTGTCCCCCAAAGGACATCTGATAATGTCTGGAAATAATTTTTGTTGTTGCAACTCCAGGGCGGGGGTGAATTGTGAAACTGACTAGATCGAGACAATGGATGCTTCTCATCAGCTGTGATACACAGGTCAACCCCCGCAACAGGAATTATCTGCCCACACATATTACTTGTACTGAGTTTGGGGAACCCTACTAGAATATTGAAATGGATTTAACCACATTCTTTATTGATTGATTTAAGATTCTTCCTAGAATAGTGAGTCCAACTGGCTCATCTTACAGATAATGAGGTAGTTGGTTGTAGGGCTACACAGCTCTACTTGACTGACATTACTTTTTCAGCCAGCCAGCACTCTCAGTGCCATAGGGACAGAATGGTTTTCTTATTCAGGTTTAGGGGACAAGGATGAGACTATTCAAACTGTAGAAAAATATCATGCAATAGACACATTCACCCTCCTCCCCCATGCCCTCCCCCCCCCCACCCCAGTGGAAAGGTGTGACACAAATCTAGGGCTGAGTGAGAAGAAAGAGTTCCCTCAATAATTCATTTCTGAACAATTCAATCTGCTCCAGGAAATGAGAGATTAGGCTGTGGAAGAGTGAGTTATTTTAAGCCACTCTGCATTAGAACCAATTAAAGCTCTGGAGGGCCCAGCCTGACACAGGAGGATTCACTCTAATTGCTACAGACCAAGGGGATCCAGTATAATTTTCCTCCTATCAGCAAATAATAGCATTTGGGGAGATGAACTCAATCTCCAAGGGAAGCTTTGAAGCACGTATGATAGTTATCTTCCTTTTCAAGTGCCTCAGATTTAGAATACCTCTGATCCTAAAGAGGACCCAGCCATAACTCTCATGAGTGAGACCTGCCATTTTCCTAGCAGTAGTCACATGCTTGGACTTTTTCCATTCAGCTCTGTTGACTTAGAAAAACCAAGTGATTCATGCATAGTACACAGTGAATCAGCAAAGGAAGCAAATGTAGAAAAAAGAATTTGTGTGTCATCTTGAATAAAAGTGCCTTCCAATAAATTTGGGGAATTGTCTTCAAGGGAATCAGCTGAATTTGTTAAGCATTTATTGTATATCATAACTGTCTGGCACATTCATGATTAGCTGGAAATAATATTTGTGGGTCCACTGAGGCTCTAAAATGATTCAGTAGGGATACTAGTTTCTGCAGAAGAAGCTCAACTTTCTTTTCTCAAGTTGGCCTTGGAGCATTAAAGACTGTTCCTGTATTTGCTACTACTGGGGTGAGAATGGTGAAGTTAGTGGGGTGGGGTATGTGATATATGCACAGAAAAGAGTAACAGCAACAGATCCTAACAAGGAAATGCTATCTTACCACTTCTATTTCATGTCCTATTCCTTTCCACTACATCCTCCCCCATAACACACACCATGGGGAGAAGTAATGGAATAACTCTGAATTTGGACTCAAATAGGACTAGGTTTGAATCCCAGTTCTCCTTTTCTGAATCTCACATACATCACCTATAAATTTGGTCCATTAATTTTATCTGTAGTTTGTCAAGGGTTTACATAATGTTTTCATGGCAGAAACATTTTAGACCCATGGCAGGTGATATGTACAAAACACATGACTCATGAATGCACTAAATAAATGTTCTGTCACTATGAGACTCAACCCCTGCCTGAGTAATTTTTGGAAGACAGAAAACTTGGTCTTAAGGATTATTGAGATGGGAATCATGGAATATGGATGGACAAATTAAAAAAAAATCTATATTAGGGCTTCACTTGAAGTTTTAACATCTACTGATTTTCCAAACCTCTTTACAAGATGTAAAAATGTTGGACTTGTGGTTAGCTGAACTTTAGAATTGCTGGACTCTGTATTTAAGTTGCTAGAGAGTGAATTTGTCACTGAGTAAGCTTGGAGAAGGTGAAAGACTTACTGGCCATTGCAATAATCCAGGTTATATATTTCAGAAGTATGTCAAAAAAGCATCACCTCCCATGGGTCCAAGAGAGAACCAAGTTTCTGCCATGAAAGACAAAAGTAATTCAGTTGGTAAATCCGCAGCAAAGAATAAATACAAGGTTGAGGCAGGTCTCCTATGTACAAAGGTGCCCATACTCAACTCTTTATCAGAATCACTGTGAGAATTTTAAAAACTATCTTAGATTCTTGAGCCCCACCGTGGAGATTCAAGGGTTATGGAGGGGCTTGGAATCTTGTTTCCTTTTTATTAAAGTATCAAGGTGATTTTGATGATCAGTCAGGTTTGGAAACAGCTCGGAAGGTGACTGGCTCCAACCCAGGTTCTCCTGCTTTCGAAGTGATTCATTGAGCTGAATCTCACTTCAGAGGCAGTGATTTTGGAGTATGTACCTGAGAAATGACAGTATGTGATGATAAAAGCTACAGATCTTCATCTGTCTATTTTTGACATTCAAGTCATGCTCAGTGAGACCTGCTTCTTCATGATCTCATCTCTAGTCACTCCCCACTGGGCACTCAAAGTGTTTCCCAGTATGCCTTGAACTTTTCTAACTCTTTGCACATCTTCCCTCCCAATCTGCATGAGCTCATCTGCACTGAGACAGGCAGAATGGCATGGAGGTTAAGAGCCTGGCTTTGGCAATAAGGCAGGTTGAAATTCTGGTGTTGTTATGAGCCAACCTACACTATGCTGGTCAACACCCTAAAGGCGGCCATGCAACAATATACAAAGGTGCCCATACCAGAGGGGCCCTGGGTTGCTCTTAAGTAATGTTTAGAAGGAAAACACAAACTTCTATCCTGTTCAAGCCACTATTATTTTGGTCTTTATTAAAAAATCTTAAACTATATCCTACCAACTAGTAGGCCAAGCACTATAATACAGGTGATACGCGTTGCTATAGAAGATGCACTTGGTGCTGACAGAGCATACCTGTGGGAACAAAACCTCACCTTGGAGCAAAGCCTAAACCTCCTTAGAGAAGGAGATAGTCAAGTATTGAGATGAGTTGCACTTTGACGGGTAAGGGAGGAAAGGATTCCCCAGATAACAGGGTGGGCAAAGGTACAGAGGCAGGAAGCAACATGGGATGTTTGGGAAATTATATTAACATTGCAAAAGAGTAGGGTTTGAATGGGAAGTGAGAAATAATAAGGTAGCAATTTGGAAGTAGGTTCTGTTTGGGAAAAGCAGAGGGTATGGTGACCATCAGAGACTTATTATGGGAACTCTCCATACCTTTAGCTACTCCTCATGAGGAAGGACTCTGAAAGCCAAAGATGGTTTCCCCTATGCTTCGCTTTCTAATGAAGATCCCAGATCTGGAAAAGGGCTCAGACCATCATCCCAATCAGTTAGGTTTATTGTGAGGCAGGAATTTCCAAACAGGCCACGGGAGGTTGATAGATTGCTAGGTCTATCAAGACCACCTCAAATCAACCTCAAAGTGAGATCAGTGGTTGAGCAAATTTCACCATGCTTATTAAGGTATTGGGAGGAAGTGGTTTATTTTGATTCAAACAAGTTTCTGCATAGTGCTGAGAGTCAGGAGAGAAGGCAGGAACAGAAATCTTAGGTCATTTTTTTGATATGAAAATAATTTTGATTTAACCATCTCAGATGAATAGTATCTTCCTTAGTCTAAAAATCTACCAAGGGGCCTCCCTGGTGGCACAGGGGTTAAAGTCACAGCACTATCAAGCTATCGCCATCCCTGTGGCCTAAGTTTGATCCTGGCCAGGGAGCTACCCACATGGTGCAGCAGACCTCTCCTGTCTTGCCCACTGCTCCCCTCAGCAGTGTACCTCAGTAAACCTGCCTGTTCTGCTCCCTGCTCTGTCTCTGGTGAATCCTCTCACCCCCTGCACCTCTGACCTACACCCCAGTTCTTGTATGCATAAATAAAAAAAATCTTAAAAACAAGCAAACCAATAAATAAGAACCTACCAAGGTACCAGTTCTCCACAAGTATTCTGATTCCTCTGGGTTAGGAAAATCTTTTCCTCCCTCTGTTTTTTCCCCAGGCCTTTGGTCACCCAATGATTATGGGTCATGCTGATTTCATACTCCATTAACTACCTTTGCTGACCGTGGGTCTGCAATGAGCCTGACATTGCTAGGCACCTATTAGCTCACCTTGCCCTGATATTTTCCTGTGAGGTGTTTCCCTATTTCAGATGGAGAAATACAGGGACAAGTGCCTTGCCCAAGACAAAATAAAAGGTAGAAGCTGGGGATTTTGTTTATTTGACATTTACAACTTAAAAAGTCACAGTTATCACAGTGATACTTATGAAACTTAAAAGTAACTTGCATGGAAATCATTTTATTTTTAAAAAATGTACCAAATTCTATCAAGAGATAAAACTTGGTCAGCATTATTTCCCATTTAAATTACTACTACTTCCTTCTTTCCCACCTTTCTGAAAGCCTCTTCTGGTTCCAAAACCCTGCTTTCGCCTCACTCCATACCATCACCTCTCTAAGCCTCTCTTGTTATAGTAAAAGAAATGGAGCAATAAAGAGAATGAGGAACTTCCCTGTGATTGCATTACAGTACTGGAATTTGAACCCATATGTTCGAAGTACTCTTGTACTTTGGATCATTTCTTCTCTCAACTCACTTTATTCCTCTGCATCTTTGAAGGCCAAGAAAATGCCATGTTCCCCCATAGAAACCTTTAGGCCACCCCTGCCCTCTCTGACCTCTTCCTCTGCCTGGTGAGTTCCTGCCTGCTTTTCCACTGATGGGATACCTTGCAGATAGGACCTGGCATTATTTAGCATTTCACATACTTGTTTCATTTTCCTTATGAGTTCTTTGAAGGCCAGAGGTCATAACGTGACACCTGTTTATAGTCATAGAGCCTTGTAAGTGGTTTGCACAGAGGAGAAAGTGGCAAAAGAGTGGATTCCTGACCTCTGAAGTCAGACTCCGGTTCAAATTTTGGCTTTGCTAGTTGTTTGCTGTGTGACATCAAAATACTTAATCTCTGTCTAAGCACCTTTATGAAGGGTTGTTGAGAAAAAGTAGATATGGTAGTCGGTTTCAGGGGTGTAGCACAGTGCCTGGCACACATGAATCATTCCATAAAGGTCAACTATTATTGGAAGCCAACAAATATTTATTGTTGGTAGTGAATTACTCAAGTTGTCCTCAAGGTCAAAAAAATTCTTTTAAAGGATGAACTGAGACACAAAATCTTTCCATAGGATACAAATCTAAAAAAAGTAACTTGCAAGTTGGAAGGAAGGCCAAATGTTGGGTGGGAATTGCCTCACTTCCCCTCCATCACGTCCATCTTACTACAGACACAGTAATGGCTCCCCAGTGTACAGAGCATCAAAATGACTAACAGCCAAGCGGACGACCACAGAGCCAGTCAGCGGGGTTGGCGGAGTTCCTGCTGCTTAGTCACTCAGAAGGGGCTGGTTTGGCCTCTGAGCCTCACAGGCGCTAATGCTGTTAGGATGAAAGATGTGTCCATTTGGGCCACAAGTCCTGGTGTTCAGAGAAGACTCTAGAAGGTCAACGCTTAAGAGAAGAAATGCAAGGGTTGAAGTAGGAATTTCAAGGGCAAGACTGAGCAGTCAGTTTTGTCAGGAATCAGAAATATGCTACTCTGGGTACACATGCATTTATTTCCGCAACAGCCCATTTCTTCAAAGGACTTTAAAGGGCAAAAACTGGCCTTCCTTCCAATTTTATTCCCATATGTAACTGTGGTAGAGCAGTTTCACCTAAAGCACACCACACCTGCTGCTTTATATGCATTCTCAAAATGCAAAGAGATTCTTCTCCAAATACTTTCAGATAAACTCTTCTTAAGACAGTTTTGGGACGAAGATTACATACAGATTATCTTTGCTGCAATTTGGTGGGTTTTATTTGATCATCTGTCCTGCAAGCCGCAGGAGGCATTTCTCTAAGCATCAGAGCTAAGCACAATAGAACTCAAAATAGAATGATGTGTCAGGTGGGTGGGGAACTGTCAGAAGTAGAGATCTTAGAAGCCAAAGGGAGCTAGGGAGATGCAGAGGAGGGCTAGGAGGAAGCTTCAGATAAATGGATCAGGCAGGATTGACAGGGAAAAGCAGTAGAGCTGGTCTGGCTTTTTGGGAACACAAGTGCTCTGTCATTGGACTGGGGCACAAAAAAGCAAAATTTAAACCAGAAGGTCTTAGGCAAAAGCTATTGTGAGCATCAGCTAAAAGCAGGAGGAGGCAGAGGGGACATGCTGCCACACCTTCCACTATAAATGAAAGAGCTAATAATAAAAAGAATCAATCCATCACCAGATCTGTTTGTCTACAGCAGTGCCCAGGAATTCTATCACCTCACCAGCTTTCTGTCTCTGGCTTCAGTTTCCCCAAATTTAAGTCTGAAGAAATCATCCTGCTCCTGGTCTGAGCCCAAGTTAGTGTCCCTCCTTTGTTCCCACTGGCATCCATCACTGATTTCTGCTTCTTTGACTAGATCTTAAACTCCTAAGGGTTGGGGCTGTAGTTATTTCTGCATCTTCAAAGCCTGGCACAGGGAGGACCATAGAGCAGGTATCCAACCAACAGTTGCTGACTGATGGTCTGTAACATTCTTGGATCAGTCATTCTGATTCTGTCCACCACAGAATTCAACTTGAAGTATGGACACATCCTGTCCCAGAAGCTGTCTTGAGAAGCACTGTGGCCCTGCTCTTTTTGCCCTTGCTCTTTCCTTAACTTCTTTATTCCCATCCCAAATATTACTCTCCTAGGTCCATGCCAACTTAAAGCCATTTTGCTTTTTTCAAACTTCAAGACAGGAGTTCATAAATGTGAAATAATAACCAGGTCTCTAGTTTTCTTTTCCTTTCTACAAGTCCATAGGTCTTGCTCAAGGCTTCTTGGGTCTTAGATTTTCTTGGAAGAAGAACCTGAGATAATGATTTGAATGGAAGAGGTTTACTGGGAAAGTGATTCCAAGAAACGTTGATAATGGAGCAAGGAAATGAGGTAGGAAAGGGAAGGTCATAAAGCAGGTACTGCTGTGGGTAAGCGG